GTTGGCGCACTAAGCCAATTGCGTGGCACTGCGCCAACTCCTAAAAATTCACTGAGTTACCCAGGCCTACTCGAAAGTCTGTCTCTTTTGATAAAAAAAATGTGTCTAAAATCCTAAGGGTGGTTTAAACTTTCGGACGAACGAAACTCACCGTTACACGGATCAATGACGATGGCTCTGGGCCGCTCCACTCTGGTAATCATCACCAGTTCAGACCCATTCAAATTCATCGCGTAAATGCTCCTATTGGCTGAATCGGTCCAGTAGACCTTCTGCTGCGTCCAATCATATGCGATCCCTTCCGGGTTGATTCCTGAAAGCACCAATCAAACTCAATGCATCCGGCAAATTGCTGTTAGCGTACCTTTGTTTCTGATGTTGACAATGTTCTTTCCATCCGGCAAGGTGGCCGACATGCTGGCTATTCTAGCCCAGGGCCTTATTTGGGTGAAAAGCAACGTTTTATCTTTGTAATCGAAATCTATGCCCACAACATTAGTGAGATTGCCCACGGGGGAAAATGGAACAGTTGTAGAGTGAGGATCCAGATGAATCGATCTGACTTCGGTGCGAGTTGAGAACACCAAGTACTCGTCGATTGATGTGCATTTTTTGCCTACAGCAGCAATTTTCGTTCATTCAATCTCCCATCTCGAGCACCCTGTTAGAAACTTACCATCAGAAGCAAGTGTGCCAGTGGCACAAGAACATTTGAAATCGTTGCCAGCGTTCGCGCTAGGATCATTGGGGAAGGAGAAGCAGAGCTGTTCGCATTCGGACACTTTTCTGCAAGGGTTACTTTCGTCTGCTGGTTGGTTGGTGATATCGAAAATTGCAATATCGCGCAGCTTATCCAGATTGGTGCGCACTCGAGTAGGCACCAAAGTGCTATCCGGTTGCTTAGAAGCCTTAAACACTGAGCGCAAATTGCGATCAACCCAGTAAATCTCGCTCTTATATACCGCAATGCCCATGGGGTTGGGGAGATTTCGTCTAGGGGACAAAAACACACTCTTTCCCATCTTCCTAGGGATTTTTTCGGTCAAACTTACCTAATAACCTGCCTGCTTCCTCCACTAAACGACACTCTTTGGATCATGTCCAGCTTGGCATCTACCCAATACACATCATGGGTATTCATATCGATGGTCAAGTCTCTGGGGTTGCTAATGCCAGAAGTAACCAGCGGCTTCCAACCAGTTCCATCGAGGAATGCTTTTCCAATGCGCGGATATTGCCCATAATCGATCCAGAATAGCAACCGCTTAATGGGATTTACGGCGAGTTCTCTTGGCGCATCTATGGTGGTTTTCACCAAAACCTTCCGGTGTTTCCCATCCAATCCGCACACCTCCAGGTAGTTCTCATGCGGGAAAACGTTGGTGAAATACAAGTTTCCAGCTATCCAGTCGATGGCCAACCCGCGGATGCCGTTGCTGCCAATACCTTCCTTGATAATGTGCTGAAGCTCTGGAATTGAACAGTTCGATTCATTTTCTGCCAAACTTTCACCTGGTTAAAGGGAAATTGAGCATACCTGTGCCATCTGGCCTGATTCTGAAAATGCCATTCCATGTTCCCCTATTGAACTCCACCCAGTAGATCCAGTTTTCCGCGTAGTGAACATCCACGTGCAGAATATGATGACCGAGCCCTGTGATGGGCACCATTGCTTCTGCAGAGTCTTTCAAACTGTACCTGCGGGTAAGTAGATTTAGATTCAAAAACTTGTCGAAGAACCAGCTTGATCGAACTGACCCCCTTGCCATGTCTAGTTGGGAAACGACTGCGAAGGTTTTATGCGGAGAACAGGAGGAATCGTCGTTTTTATATCCAATGCCGCAGAGGCACTTTTTGGTTCTGGACTCATTGGGGATGCACAGCTGCTGGCAGCCTCCATTGTTGATAACACAGGGATGGTCAATCTGGCAAACCGACCAACTCTTTCAACTGATACAACTTGGGCGTTGAACAACTTACAAATGTTCGTTTCTTGAAAATGGTGAAAGTCTTCAGATCGGGCTCGTTCTCCAGAATGCTTCGTGGATTGTTGCCCGATGGCAAAGCCACTTGCACCAAATTTTCATAGCTCGGGTCCAGATAGTACAACCTGCTGCCCATAACGCTGATCGCTTTTGGCAAGTTTATATTGTTGGCTGCAGTGAGAATGGTTGTTCTCTTCTCTCCAAATGTGTCTATGCTTTGGATGCTGGGCGGGTATTGAGTACTGAAATAGATAGTCTTCGACTCGATGTCTATGGTGATGGCTTCGGGTCGTTCAATGTCGGTTACAAGAATGTGCGGGTTCGATCCATCCATGTTGACCTGCGAATAATGGAAGCTTATATGCTCACCCACACTAAACAGGTCTTACCTTGGCTATTTTCTGAGGCACGCCATTTCCCCCAGCATCAGTCCAGTAGAGCTTCCCCTCGATAGGATCAAGGCAAATTGCCCTGGGATCAGCTACAGAAGTCCGGTTGCCATCGTTTGCCAGGATGATGGCCCGGTGGCGAATTTTCCCATCGACTCTCACCACCTCAAAGTTGCTCGCTAGGCGATTGGCGATGAAAAGGTTGCGTCCGATCCAATCGAAAGCTATTGCGCTGGCAGCGCCCACAACTCCATTGTCCGCTCCGAGGAACTGAGTTTTATTGCCGCCTCCAAGCGCAGTCGTCCACAAGGTGCACTGAATCAAATCACCCGCTCAATCAAGCGCGGACTCCCAAACAAAAGTGGCTTACGTTTGCTTCATCATCCCCTTTGCCTTCCAGCCAGTAGATCAAGTTTGTCTTCTTGTCGTACTCCACTTGCCGTCCATTTTCAATGCCCACAATAGGAGTGATGGTGCCACCAACATTGTCACCAGGTGTTAGACTAATGTCGATGATCTGAGTGCCTCGCATCAGAAGAATGAATGGTGTGTCATCTTCAATGCACCGTCCCTCTGAGGTGAGTTTGAAGCCAGCTCTACACTTGCAGGTGTAGCCTAGAGGGCACCAAATGTAAACGAAAATTGAGCGAATGTAGGCGAACTCACCACTCGCGCTAGTAGGGCTGGTCAGACATAGTTGCTCACAGCTGGCTTGGATGCAGGGGTTTTCCGTTATCGGCTGCAAGCTCGGATGGTGGACATGAATGCTGAGTGGTTGCGATATCAAATGAGACACCACAGTCTGGTTGTCGCCCTTGAACTTATGGGCGGACAGCACTCGATTCAGTTGCCGATCAGTCCAATAAAGAGTGTCCTCAAAAATGGTCAATGAGTGCGGATGCAACAAGTAGTGGCTGCCTGCTAAGACGTTCTGCCGGCCCGTGCCGTCGTAGTTACAAAAATCAATAAAGTCCAGCTTGGAGTCTGCAAAGTAGACGCGATTGCTCGTGGTGTCCAGAGTGAGGCCGTTCGGCCAGTAGATTTTCGTGTTGATTATGATGGAGCGATTGGAGCCGTCCATGCCAATCCGCTCGATTCTAGGATTCTCGCCCCAATCCGTCCAGAAGAGCCATCGGGCGCCTGGTTTCGGGTCCAGACACATTCCCCTGGGTTGGGTAATATTCTCCTTCACCAGCACTATCCTGTTAAGGCCACTCTCAGTAGACACTTCGATGGTGTTCAATTTGGAGTCCAGCCAGTAGATATTGCCGCCTATCCAATCATAGGCCAGCCCTTCAACCAGATCTAACCCCGTTGAAATTATATCCACCGGGACGCTGTTCCTGTCCAGCTTGGATATCTTCTTCAGCTTCATATCCGACCAGAAAATCGTGCCTGAGTGCATGTTGGAAGCGGTTGCTACCACATTTTCCACTATAATAGGAACGCGTTCCAGGCCCTGGTCCTTCAGATCGGCCACCAGAATGGAGTGCCGATTGGAAATGATCAGGAAGGCGGATGAATGGTCTGAAAATTTCACTGGTGAGCTTTTGGGCTAAAGTCAAAGGGAACCTGCACGCACTGTATGCTTTGCACTGGTGTTTGTTTGGCTCCAGAAGGTAACCAGGAACGCAGCTGCAAAAATAGGATCCCTTGGTGTTGGTGCAGGATTGCGAGCAAAGGCCTGGAGGGTTGCATTCGTCCAGATCTTCACAGCCCATTCCATCGCTGGATAGAGTCTCTCCTTCACGGCACGAGCAAAGTGGCCCCTGGAAGGATCAAGGAAAGACAATCTTCGAGTGAAATCTACATTTCATTACAAACTAATCACAGACACAGAGTACGATGAAGCCCTATCACATATCAAAAGCACAGCACCGGGAAAAGACAAAATAAAGGCTAAACTCCTAAAAAGCTTAACCGAAGAAAC